TAAATGGTAGAAAAGTCTTGCTACAATCAGACTGATTCTCTTTTGGGAGCTTATATACTCCATGATATTTGCATTACTAATTTAACATTGTTTTTCAGTGGTAACATGCTAGATGATGTTTCAGCATAGGCTGTGTACTCCCAAACTTTAGAAGTAGAAACTGTGGAAAAATCTACAGAAGGCTGAAAAGTAATGCTGAGGCACTGCTGGTTAATGTGCAACAATCACTTCAGCAGCACTGTTAAAATTATTATCTAGATACTTTATAGATTTCTAGACTTCCATAAAAGTCTGATTTAGAATTAAAAAAAAAGTCTCTCCTCCCTGCAGTAATTCTTACATGTCTCTCTAGAGATGGGTGGTGGGATGGACATGAGATGCAGAAGACCAATCCCCATGGAAAGCACTAGTAATGGTGAGGCCATCGGATTTCTGGACTTGGAGAAGTTAAGAGGCCAGGGACAGCAACCATTAGAGTCTGCTACACAAAAAGAATAAAGCCAGGACTCAAGAATGGGGAGAACGAAAATCACATCATTCTTTGCTGGAGCAGACTACTTTGCAAAATTAACCTTCCGCAAGTAACCTGCCTGTAACTCAGACTCATCCTGATGCTTTTGGAGCACTTCACCAAAGCACTGCTCCCCTCAGTGTTCGCTCTCATATCCCACAAAGAATAGGCAAAGTGAGAAGAGGATTCCTTGCAGTCTGACAAAACCCATCTAACAGGAGGGAAATTATCTGTCCTGCATTTTGTTGATCACACTGCCAAGACGCTGACTCCCTGTGCTGCTTCGAGAAAGTAATGGCAGAGTGATCATCAGTCTGTGGCTCAAGACAGCTCTGGCTCGTGCAAGATTCAGGTACGGCTTCTACAGTAAGTGATCCACAGTTTCTTCTCAGGAACTGCAGATAAGTAAGCCTGCAAGGTGCATGGAAACACCAAATCGGGGAATCTCACCTGTCACGCAGTGGAGCTATACACGCAGCGTAGCTAATCACGTAGTCACTTCTTCAGAGTGACCACACTGAGCTGCTTGTCCTCCTCCACATTGCTCTTCGTAATGTATCCCCGGTGACTCCTGGCCATATGAAGACAGCAGAACATGGCTGGTAAAGTCAGGAAGATTGGAGACTGGAGTCAAAACAAGCAGTGAAAGGTGGAGGTGGATGTGACAGGAAAAAAAAATTCCCCTAAACATTCAACATCAGGACTTAATCTACAGGTTTGTGTATTTCCTACTGATGTTGATAAATATAACAACTCAAGTGAAATGCTGATTATTTCCAGATATCAATACACTGGCTCTTATGTGTAGTTTAATTGTCTATCGATTTGCGATAGCCTTTGAAATTAAAGAAAAAACCTTCAAAAAAATAAAAAAGCCACCTACCCCGAGGGATCTAGTATCAGTTCTGTATGATGCAACTGACAGAGCTTTGATTGCATAAGATGAGGACAGCCAACTTTTTCCACAAGCAGGAATCTTCCATCCTGCCTAAACAAACCCTTTTTCTGATTCAATTGTTTCTCTCCATCCTTCACCTCAGACATGTCTGAACTGAAATATCTCTGGCCTCCCTTCTCAACAGCTGCAAATTAACTGCAGGGATCCTGGCATACTCTGCAACAGGTGGCTCAGCGCCTCACTTCGCAATTGGTGCACTCCAGGGAAAGGAATGCTGCACTGAATCCTGATGCTTGCAAGTGCTCTCAGATTTACAGTCATGTAGGAAGTAATGGGGTGAAACAGAGTATGCCAGATAACAGAGGAAAAGGACATGGAGGAGAAACATAGCTGCCCTGAAAATGCTTGCAGTCTCCGAGATGCAAGACAGCAGAAGGAAGGAGTAACATTACTGAATTTTAGGAGCTTTCAGAAACGTGGCAAAGTCACGGCCATTGTGGTACTTTCCTTCTGAGAGAGGTAATATTAATGTCAAACTCATGGCAACTTTCTAAATTAATTATACTTTGCCTACACCAAAGTATTTGTTTTTTTACAACTCATTGTATTTCAAATTATTAATGTATCTTAGCTCTAAAAGCAAAGCAGGTAACTTTCGCTTATCACAAAACCTGAGATAGTAAGTAATCCCAACCCATTTGGAGTTTCCCTGTGTAGTATTTCCAGGACCAGGAGCACTGGGGGCTGCAGATACCTTCATGCTGCAGAACCAGGATCGGTTCGGCAAGCTTGGCTGTGTTCCTGGAAGGGGTAAGGAGGCAGCGGTGGGTATCGGGCTCGTGGGAGCAGCATGAGCTGGTGCCTGTCTAATCCCACACACCACCACGCACGTGTGCTGTTCCTACATAGCTGAAGTCTGGTGTTATGCTCAAGTTATTTAGCCCTTGAAACACCATGAAGCACAGTGCACGGAGAGGCAAGTGGCTACGCAGCAATTCTGTGAGGCTGGATATGCTTACACCTCACTCCCCAGTGTATCACATATTTGCATTATCCAAGATTCTCAGCTTTTCTCTATCTAACGTCTAAAGGGGACTTGACTGCCAAAGGATACAAAATGCAGGCTAAACAACCAAAAAGCTTTTCCATTTCTACTCAAAGTAACTCATCTACACAGAGATAAAAATCCAGGGCTATATTGTACATCCAGATCAAGTGGTATTGGGCCATGAAAATTTTTGTGGCTCACAGCTAAAGTAACTGGAAGATAATTCTCTCATCTCTCTCCTCATCTTCCCACACTTGGACCCAAAAAGAACCTCAAGTTTAAGACACAAATACAACACACAAGGACTCTTCTCAAACAGTTTAATAGCAAATAAACAAAGGAAGGTACCACACTTGGCATATACAAAATGACTTGTTGTCGGTGTGTCTGTGCAATTAAAACAGCTTTAAGTTGCCCTTTGGGACAAAAAGAAAAAAAACCACACACACAAAAGGAAGAAAATTCCTTTAACACATACTCGCTCGTTCCAAACTTGTAACAAATCTTTTCATTTTAAATCCACTACACAAACTCTGCGATCAGAAAAGCAACACGTGCTCCTCTGCTTTTTAAACCATTAAAGTAAAATCCGTAATTCTCTACAGAGTACAACACAATTTCACACAAAAAGACATTTTGTTTTGCAAATCAAAACAAGAAAAAAAAGGAACAGCTCAAACAAGGTAAAGAAAAGCATTTCTACGACTGAACCACGACTTTGAGTTGATTAAATCCCGTTACTGCAGAACAGACTCTACATTTGGTCATAGTGGCAATTTGTTTTCTCGTCACATTGTGAATCACTTTACATTGTTTTCTAGTAGAAAAGGCAAAAAACTGTACAAAACCCCTAGTGTTAAATACAATGTTTGTACCAATAAAAAAGCCCACAGGTTTGTCTCCAAAATGTAAATTTTCTTTTTAAATTATTCACAAAAAGCAGCCAAAAATCAGAAAGGCAGCTGCTGCTCCACTGTCTCAAATCCATTAAAACCACCACAGAACAATTAAAACAACCAAAGGAAGAAAAGGAAAGAAGAAAGGAAAGAAACATCCAATGTTTGGCATTTTGGTTTTCTTCAGATATTTTTCCACAGGTTTCCCCAAAGTTCCTTATGGAACCAAATGCGCATGTACAGAAACGTATTGGCAGTTACCCAACACACTGCAGGGTATCAGTGCCCCCCACTGACACACAGCCCTGTGCATTCAGACTGTGGGACTAACAGCAGCCAGCCCACAACCCTACCTCCCAAATAAACAAGTCTCTCTCCTTTTTTCATCCAGCCTCACGCTTCACTCCCAGGTATATGTACCATATCCAAACATGTTCTGTCTTACAAGCAGATTAAGGACTGTCTACACAAGCCTAGCCAATATCCACTGAGAATATAGTATCCTCAGCCAACTCAGGAGTAGGATAGAGAAAAAAAAAAACCTTCTGCATCTTTGCATTATCCCAATCAAACACGATTTGTTTTCTCAGCAAAACTCCTTCTCCTGGGATTTCATTTCACATTATTTTCTACTGTTAAGATACCTGCACTAGCTTGCTTCTCCTTCTGACTGAAACTTCATCACAGCACACACTCTTCAGGTGCCTTCATCTAGAAGCTACATCCCAGTTTCTACCTGTGCAGATGGTACGTAGGGTAGGGGGAAGCCTGCTACCCAGAAAGCAGTAACCTGTTCTAGTTCATCCTGCAAGCCAGAAAAACTGCTTAGCTCATTACCCAATTAAAAACTAAACAAAAACTAAAAAATCTCCGTAGAGATTCCCCAGCTAAGGCCCTTGAGAAGAGAGCTGGGGACGGTACCCTGTTCAGGTAACAGCTTCAGCGGCTGTTGTATTGTGCTTGTCACTTGGGAAAAGAGCCAGCAGTTGTAGGACCAGGTTTACAAATGCTTTCTCTGGGACATTTCAAACACTATTTCAAGAGCTAACCTAGATCCTTCCAGGATCCTGCCACCAAGGTCTGACCGATGGTATTAAACTGGGGCTGGACTTCACAAAAATGTGCCCTGAATTATACAAAATGCTCATAGAGAGTGTTTCAAAGGAGCCCTAGCTTCAGATAACTTTGGAAACAGAAATACTGTGAAGTTCCCCCACCTTCCTGCTCCCCAGCTATCCCCTTCCACCAAAACTTCCACTACAGGAACAGTGCAACCAAGCCCCCTGGGAGCCTCAGCCAGCACTGGAGATGGAACAAGGTCCAGGTGCTCTGTCAGGCAGACAGTCTAAGTGCACAGGTAGATGCCCTCAGGTGGCTTCTGATCAGATATTTGTCATACCAAAAACACCAATTTAAAGGATACCTTTGAAACCCATTAAATTGCTCAGTTTTTGCACAAACTATAGAAAACAGAGAGGTGAAGGTGATATATACGAGGGTGTGAAGAGAACAGCAGGAAACATGCAAAACATTTCTGGGCACTATCTTAGTTTGAAAGATTAAAACAAAAACATCACATTTTGCTGAGGAGATTGTAGTTACAAAAAAACCAAGCATGCTAGGGCTTAACAAAATACAACATCAACTTTGATCAAATTTTCACTGCAGACTGATAATCACACAGGGAAGCAGGGGGAAAATAAAAATAATAATAATAATAATTAAAAAAAAAATCAATAAATGCCAGGGCAAAAATGTAGCTACAATCAGAAGAAAATGTAGTTCAAGTGTTTTCTGCTGATGCCAGTCAAGTCACAAGTTTGATCTCATAAAAACACATGCTGTCTCCTCAAGCACAGAAACCAGATCAGCAAAATGTGACTAGGAAGTCTCCTGAAAGATTGAGTCACACCATATAATTGACTTTTTCTTCAAAACTGTGTTTTTAAAACTAAGCACACAGAAAAAACTAAGCCTAGAAAGTGATTGGCTGTATGTTCACAGAAATACAAATACTCCACAAGGTATGCTAGCAAGGCTGCTCTGAAGACAATTACAAAGAATCAGATTCACAAAATCAAGTGGTTATCTTACGAAGGTCTAGAAAAATAGAAATTCTTTTATATTCAAATGCAAGTTTAAATATTCCCCTTCAGCAGTCTTTCTAGCAAAACCAATTTGGCAGCACAAAAAAAAAAAAAAGAAAGAAACAAACATAATAAAAATACACATCAGCATCAAAGGTCAACACAAGGTCAAAGGTGAGAGTTCAAGCATCAGAGAAGCTGAAGAGACAAGGATTTGGACGATGTACTTGAACGCCACATCGACATGCTTTAGGCACAACGATGAACAAACGGCAGGAATCTAGAAAAAAAACAAACCAGAAAGAGGGAGACCCACTGAGTTACACAGAGCAGTACATCCAAACACAGAGAGAGAGAACAAGAATGGGCACTGTACAATGAGATCTCCTGGGGAAGGGAGTTGACAGGGAAGGGCAGCACATGCCAACGATGGACAAGTGAAAGTCGAAGTACATGAAGGACACCAAGTAAACATCAAACTGCCAGAAACCAAATGGAAGCAGAGGCCTGGATTTCCCTCTCAACACCCAGTCTGTGGAGCATTCCACAGCTTCGTGACACATCGATTAGCATGCATTCACCGTGCCCTGTGCCCAGTGTCTCCTCTAGCTCTATTTAGGAGAAGAGCAGAGCAAGCTCCCTCCCCAGGAGAACGACTCCGAGAACTATGGCTCCAGGGCTAACGTTTGCCCACAGAGACTGAGACCATGAGAGACAAGACAGAGGACACAGGGATTCACAGGTGGTTTGATGGCTGAGACTTTTCTTGCATCCTAACATGGGAAGTTCTCAGGCAGTGGTAGCCCAGGAAATCCATGTTCTTTCCTTCAGCTACAGTCCCTTCTCATTCCCTAGGAGCCCATGAAACTGGCGGTGGGTCATTTGGAACAGGGCGGGGAAAAAAAAAAAAGATTATACAAGACAAATAAGTGGAACCAAAAACTCCACACACTAGAGAAGAATTCCTTAAGACTTGACTGCAAGTTAAGACTTGTCCTAGCTGAGCACTTTTCATACCATTAGACCTGCACAGGGATTTTCCTTTCCCAGCCTTTTATATAAACAGCCCCCAGCTCCCTGACTTCATGAGGAGGGGATTCTGGGCTCTGAGAAGCTCTACAGTCACTGTTGCCAGTTTGATGAGCAGAAAAAAATGTGTTTCCTGAAGCTTTCTTGAAGAGTTTATAAATAAAATAATTCTTATATTAAGTGATATAAATACCTTTGTTTCCTCCCCTCAGCTTGTGAACAACAATTTGGGAAGAATGTGGGAGGTAGGCAAGAGAGGAAGCAAGTTTTTCCTTTTTTCTTCCTCCCTCCTCACTCCCTCCGACTCCCCTTTACCTCCTGTTTGTGGCCTTATTCTTCAGCACATCTCAAAGCTGCTGGTTAGAGACTAAAGCAAGGTGAGACTTGCATATTATCTTATAGCATTTATAGCATGTTTGAAAACAGCAAGTGTTGCATTCTAGTTGCAACGCAACGAGAAGCACGGTCCACTAGACCTGCAACACTCCACTTACTAGAACCGCTGAGATTAATTTGCTCTTTATACTTTTCAATTCAGGGAAAAGACTTAGTATGGAGTTTAAACCAACTCCAGCAAACAGAGTACAATGCAGCTCTTGCAGTTATTTCTATAGTTCTAGAAATACTCTAGATAGTTTGCAGATAGCTGTAAGGATTCAGTCCTAAACCAGAAAGGCAAATTCATCATGAACTGAGGCATGGAAAACAACAAGAGGCATGAAATCAAGTGACATCTAAGCATGCACCATAGAAATTCTTTGTGTGATTTGTTTGGGTTTTTTTTGATAGAGATTTTTCAAGTATTTCACTCAGCAATTTTGAGGGGGAAAGACTAGGTTTCATTAAAGCTTGAGGAAGGACAGACCTAGAAGAGCAGAGCCATGAGATGCTGGATAAGAACTTAATGACTTGGGGAAAGTTACTCCCGTTTGTCCTTGTTTTATTCTCACAACTGTGATAATTCTGCCTTCTGTGTTTTATATTTTGTGGTAGGTCTGCTCAGGGATGTAAAACATCCTTATGTTTAAACGTTTGCAACAAGAAGCTCTCATAGCATTTTGTGTGTTCATAGTTGCACCTTCATTTGCAATTTGCTTTATCCAAGTTGCTTTTAGATATTTTGAAATGAAATAGGAACAATTTCATTCTGCTTGGCTGTTCTTTCCTAACTCACAAGCATTAACAAGAAGAAACACTTCAGTTAATTCTATCATGCAAGCAGAATCTATCATGCTATGTGACCTTCAGTATTCAGACGAAAAGCTTTTTCCTCATAGATGTATTTGCCAGTGAGAAATTTTCTGAGGTGCCTATTTTCCAGATAGTAGTGCCCACAGCTAGTAAACTGCCTCACCATTAAAATATAAAGAGATATTCACCATCATTGTCTCAGATACTTTTGAAAAATTCCAGTCCTCATTCTGCTTAGGATTAAAATTTAATCACTACATATCAAAGGCATTTTCTAATAATGCAAGCTTTGTATTTCTGGAAGAAAAAAACCGAAACTACAAAGAGATATCCTATTTTGGACTGTTGATTATCTAGGGGACTGAAGAATCTATGATTTTGTTTACTATAGTACTTGATACTAAGTAGCATCAGACTAAGACTTCAATTATTCATAACACTTCCATCTTATTACAGCATATCTAGTAAAATCAAATGTCTTCTGAGAAAAAAATAAATCTATGAAGTAGGCCATTTCTAAAAATATGTAAGTGCTTCCTGGTGGCACATGTAATATGGAATTCCATTTCATCCGAAGTCCTACTAGCTTTTGTTGTAGAAAATTCAGATTCTTTGGTTTATGACCATACAGAATACTTTGTTCATGTGCTACTTAAGCCAATCCTTCTGCAGTTTATTGGAACTCACCCAACTCTTATCTTACTATCCAAGAAATAAAGCATTTGACACTGATTTGATTTGCATCTGAATGAGAGTATGATAGGAATTAAAAATAAAATAAAATTTAAAAGCCCCAAGTCCCCAGAATCCCAGACTTTCCTGCCAATGAGTGAGGAAGAAAACTGGCTTAAGACTGGAAGGCAAGAAGAGCCTAAATGTCCAGAGTCAGCGGCAGGCACCAAACAGAAACAGAAATGTTGACTTTATCTGATCAGTTCTGTTACCAGAAACAAATCTGCCCAAGTCACAAACTTGATACATTTATTAACTTTGGCAACATATACATTGATATACCAAGAAAGGGAAATCTGAAACAAATACACAAAAAGGGCAACATCTTCAGCTGGTGAAAATTGATGCAGCTCTAACAAAGAGAGCAGAACTGCATTGATTCAAACCCTCTGAGGATCACATATTTAAAAATTTAACCTGCATAGATTGTTTTTCTTTTTGGCAATACTTATAGTTATGCCAGTAAGGCACAAGAGCTAGCCCAAGTTAGGTGTCTTAAGGTGATTCTGTCTGGGAGGAGTCACTGATCAAACTAAGCCACAGTGTAAACTGGTGAATCTCCTAAAGTCAATAGCAGTTGCACCTATTTGCAACAATGCCAAGCTTGATCCATAAGTTACAGTATTGAGCACACACTATAGGATGCAGAAGCTAAAATATCTTAATTTTGGGCAACTGAAATGACTAGTAAAGAGGCCAGAGCATCAGGTTAAAAGAAAAACAGGACAAAGGTACAGTGGGGTAGGGTGCAAAGAAGGTAAGAGTGACTGTAGAGACCCCAGAGCACAGTGCTCTCCTCCACTGGTTCACAGCATTCGTCTTCCCCATTTAGCAGTTGTTGGGCTGCAAATAGGCCACTGAAAATCAGTAGTTTCAATCATGCACATCATTATGTGTGTAAAACAATCACATTCAGGATTCTACAAAACCCTGGCCTTTTTTTCCAGTGAAATAATTTAGGTAATAAATATTCTCCACCCTGGAGCAGTATAAAACTTCTATAAAAATAGAAACAACATTCTTGGTTACAGCAGGTTGCACTTGGAGCAGTTGCTCCCAACTATGGTTGTTTTTTTTCTTGTTTTTTTTTTTCTTTTTTTGAAAAGTATATTATGCTGTTTTTTTTTTTTTTTTTTTTTTTTTTTTTTTTTTAGCAGTTGTTGGGCTGCAAATAGGCCACTGAAAATCAGTAGTTTCAATCATGCACATCATTATGTGTGTAAAACAATCACATTCAGGATTCTACAAAACCCTGGCCTTTTTTTCCAGTGAAATAATTTAGGTAATAAATATTCTCCACCCTGGAGCAGTATAAAACTTCTATAAAAATAGAAACAACATTCTTGGTTACAGCAGGTTGCACTTGGAGCAGTTGCTCCCAACTATGGTTGTTTTTTTTCTTGTTTTTTTTTTTCTTTTGTTGAAAAGTATATTATTTATTAAAAAAAAAATCCCATTATCACCCTGGAGGCCTTCACACTCCAACACTCTTTTCTCAGAAAACCAGGACACATCTTTCCCATCGTGCAGAATTCAAGTGTACATGGTTCACTTAAGTGTATGTTTACGTTTCTAGAGAGATTCAAATAATTAACATTGAAGGGTACCACATGCCAGCATAACTGGGAAATTTGGCAATCTGGCCTTTGGATCTTTGCCACCACAAAATGATTTGAATAATACTGATAGATTTACCTGTCTGCCATCAATATAGACAGAGTGGCATCAACTGATTTTCAATTTAAGAATGGAAAGGGCTCTTCTTGGATGCTTCAGGCCAGGCCTTGTACTTCTGAGGTTTGAGATCCCAGGGGACCCAGTCCCTGGGAACACCCGACATTGCCTACGGAGCACCACACATGGGTGCGGATTCTGAACATGATCTCAGGTTTGGTGGGTTTAGTGCTCCTCCTGCTGGAGCAGAAGAGAAGCTCCCAACCCTTTGTCTGACCCACACATTATTTAGCAGCTGGTTCCCAGATTGCAGTGTTAGCCGGTGCCCTGGGAAACAGCATGACGAACCAGGAATACAAAGAAAACAAGGAAAAGGAGAAAATATGAGGTAAATGGAACTTCTGTTAAAGACACACAGAAATTGTAAACATCCTCTTGTGACAGAGGTGGATTTTTGTGGTTATAAAATGGGACTCTACTCTGATTTCTTAAAACAACTCAGGCCAGAGTGTCAAAAGTCCTTTGAGCCCCCTGGAAACAGTGTATCACAAAGGCCCTTAGCAATGCATTAGCAATTTCACAACTGTGCAGAAAAAGTGTGTGTTCATTGAAGGGGTGTGTTCAATTTTCCTTCAATATAGATGGTAACAGCTAGTACCAAAAGGCAGAATAAGACTGAATGGCTCAATGCTCTGCTCTGGTTTCACAGCTCCTGTGTTAGCCTGTTTTGCACTGGTACACACCACCTTAAGGGAAAACTGCAGTATAAAGAAATATCTAATTACTAGACCAAATCACCGCACAAATTGTTTTATCTTTTTTTTTTCTTTAAAAAAAACCAAGAAGTTATCTTTGCAACAGAGTTAAGACTGAGAAATCAAATCCTATGAGAACATGTATGAAACAGGAGCCTCAAGAGCTGTGTTAGGGTAACTCTGGGCTTTGTATCTCAATTTAACAATCATTTTAATAGAGAAACAAACAGCACTTACATTATGCTTATCAGAATGAATTCAAAGTAATACTCTGCAAAAAGGACATTATTCCATAGCAATGGGGAATGTGATGAACTGTTAAGAAAAATTGTCAAAAATTGTCAAAAAAATTCTGCAGGTTACCAGGGATCAAAAGTTTCTTGTTTCCAGCCCCAGAGGTATTCATCCAGACTAAGCTGTCTCTCTCTATAACTTTCTACAAAACCTAGATAAAGTACATCGGGTAAGTTTTTTTAAATATGGAGAAATCCACTGCATCTCATTAATATTCAACTGTAAATGGACAGTGAAATTTTCTGGGCAGGGACATTATCTAATATTTTTATAAAGTGCTGTGTACATTCACAATGCTATATAAACACTACTTTATATACAGCAAAAAAAATCACTGCAGTTTTCCTTTGGCTTGTTAATGTGTTCACCCTTCTAGCCTGCCTCCTGCTTTAGGATTTACTGAATCCCCACCATGGCATACAGTTAAGGAAATTTCAAAGAGTGGATGGGGCATGACAAAGGCTACATGAAGTCGGTTCTTTGTTCACCCAAACTTGGATGGACTCAGTTCTCCTTCCCCATCTTTGTTTTCATCAGCTGTTCTGTGTTATTTCTGCTTTCCCTTCTCCTCTCCCCCATGGCGGTGTGGTGTCAGTTTCTGCTGCTCCCTTTAACCTTCCCTCCCCACCCCCAAGGAGCTGGCATTTATTTATTAAAAAAAAAATCCCATTATCACCGTGGAGGAAAAGCACAAACTTGTCCTCAATCCGAAGCAGGATTCTCAGCAGAGGCTGCAGCCGAATCTTCAGGGGAAGATGTGCCAGACAGAAGGCATGGATCAGCTTCCAGGACTGTAAAAACACAGCCTTAGGGCTTCAAATCACTAAGTGCGCTCCTCTCCAACTTACCAGAAGATCCTTCTCACTCCAGTCCCGGAGGGGAGGGGCGCTCAGTATGGCTTGCTGTCATTCTTAGAGCGCTTGAGCTGTACTTTCAGACGCTTCATGCCAATCTGAAAGCCGTTCATTGACTGAATGGCAGCCTGTGCAGAGACAGGATTGTCGTAACTTACAAAACCTGAAGAAAGGAAAATACATAATTACACCATGCCAAAGCTGTCCAGAACAGCTACTCACAATTGGAAACGCAGGTACTCACAGGGTAAGAGAGGCTTGCATGAAACGCCATTTTCAGAAGCTCACAACTATTTTAGACTCTTCACAAAAACTTCTTACTTAAGGGCTTAAGCGCTCTCAGACAAAACATTGCTTTCTGACGTATGGAACTTTGGCCAAAAGATATACAAAGCTCAGGAAATTAAAATAACATTTTCTAGTCTTCTAACAAAAAAGGAGTACTGCTGTTTGTTTTATAAGAACTCATACCTGGAAAAAAAACAAACCTGGAAAACGTTAATCTATATATGAAAGCTCATTAAAGATACAAGACTGAAATCACTCTCTTGGCATTATGGGAGTAGATTTGTTTGGAGTGAAGTAGCTGTCAAGGCAGTGTGGCATTTGTACCACTATTACGTTTAGGTCTCTCCTGGATGAAAAGCTGTATATCATCCCAGGGAAAGA